TGTATAGTCCTTCGACATCAAAGTATGCGCGAGCACTTCAATCAGGACTGCATGTGTTTTCCGTGGGCGCTGGGTAGTGCGTTTTATGCATAACTGGTACATAGGAATGTACTTAGTCCTTTAAATCTCCTCAGCAGGACCCGGGCCTAGACATGTTAATGTGGGAGCACTTACCTGTGTGCACTAACGTAGAATTATAATTCCCCACTGCTTCTCCTGTGAACATGCTCATTTGTTACGTGGCGAAAGGGGAACTATGCACTTGTTGGTCCATGCATTCATTCCAGCCCGAATGACAAACAACGCCACCCGGCCCCTCCGTACCCTATTCCTTAAATCCAGTTATGTCAAAAATATGTTTATTGGATGCACGACTAAAACCTTAGCTCCTACGAATCTCGTGTTTCCTTTGATAAGACATAATCCTACTGCGGCAATAGCAACAGCAGTTAGTGTATCCAGCATGCTTACCATGTGTTGCAAGCTTTCCTAGGGAGGTCGGAGTTTGTTGCATTTTCGCTGCCTTTTATGGTAGAATGATTGTCGCTCAAAGATTCCGCACAGATTGCTTCTTCGCGAAGTTTGGCAATTTGCAGTTGGTGTACTCCAAACCAAATCAGACCGCTGCCTGCCGCAAATATGAACAAGACTGTCATGTGAAGACAGAATAGTTGCTTTCCAGGACAAAATTTTCCGATTGGTGGAGTTTCTTGCCTTCCACCTGATGTCATAGATGACACTGCTTGTGATGCAATAGGCGGATTATTGACCTGTTGATCAGAAATGTGAGGATGAAAAAAAGAAGTGGATGTCATTTCAACTTCAGAGGTTGTGGAGTGGATATGTCTTTGAGATGCTGGCAACAGGTTATCTATGCAACCCGATTTGGTTAAACTGCCATGTAGGCAAGGCATAGCTTTTTAGTAGGAATTTTAGCCTGGATATAGACTACTTGCCACTAAACGGGAATTTTCTTTTCAATCAACTCTACATGGACTATTCCCTTCCTGCGACTGTCACGGACGATAAGTCTGACTGCGAATGCGGAAAGTCAGACCAGTAACTTCCTGGGCCCAGCGATCGCAACACTTATCCTCGTCTGATCTCAGTGCATGCATTTCGGGGCTTTAACACTTAAGTAGGCAAGCATTATACATCAATCCAAACCAGCGTCTGTTTCGACAATGTGTTCATGTAACTGTGTTAGTGGTGGAGGGCGCATTGCCACATTGCTTCCTTGACCGTCAAAAATGTAGACGATGGTGTTTCAAATCCTTTCTTGACTATAATGTTGAATTTTGGCCACGACTCTTAGTTAAGCTATATTTCAGTGACGGCAGGCCGTATCGCATTATGCGTTCATAAATACGGGGATATTTTGAGAGCCTGCCATTCTCTGACACTAAAAAAATAACAAGCAAAAATGATTCAATTGCAAATCAAGACATATGGAACAGAAAGTCGTTACGAGGTACCAGTCAGTGAGTTGACGCCAGGAAATGCACCATTTGTTTATCCGTGTGAATTTAAATACCAGATGGAGTCTCCCTCGATATCACCAATCATGTTGCACTGACGCATCCTGAGGGTAGGTAGTTCACACAATCTGGCATTTGGCCTTGGCATGCCGCGTAGGTCGGCAGTCTTTTTTTCTGCTTGGTCTATCCTTAATGAGCAAGTTTATCGATTGAAGTACGTTGTCATGCGTATTCAAACTGACGTGAGCAGCTAAGCCCTCCCAGTGGATGAGCAAATTTGTTGCGCGAAGTGCGGTATTCTGATCTGGTTTAGATTCCTCTCGTGTGGGGGGTTGATTATTTCCACTGATTTGGATGTCTATGGGATTTGTTTCGATTGCGTGTTCTTCACTGAGATCTACCGAGTCAAGATATGAATGAATACATTGTAATGCATTGCCTAGAACTGTGCGGGTGTCTGGGTTATCCACTTCCTCTAGATTGGGAACATTTGAATGCAGCCCTCGAAATTAATGTGCATTAGATTATGCAGTTAACAGCAGAGACATACGGGCTCCAATGAAGGGATTTTGTATGACTAAGCTGACAGCAGCAGTCTATGACCCTACATTTTAGTCATCGTATTTAGCTTGTGTTAAAAATGATTGTTTTTAGGTCATTCTGTTGCCTCTTGCGAAGCTGAACGCTAGGCGGAAATATTGAGTAAAAATCATGATGTGTAAATCGAAATGGGGAGCAATCTTTCGCGGCTGGGTCTCCATTTTGTCAACTGGTGGGAACAGTTACTTAACAGTGATTTGCACTATAGAGGCTTCATTTTGTCGAC